ACAACCAACTCTTGAGGGAGTCTATTCCACATTTTCACAGCTCTCACTGTGAAGAAACCTTTCCGCGTTTGGAGATTCCTTTATTTTTCCTCCAGACGTAAAGTGTGCCCCCTTGTCCTCTGTGATGACCTCAGGGGGGATAACTACACCGAGTTCACTATATGAACCACTGATGTATTTATACATGGAGATCATATCCCCCCCCTTATGTATTATACATGGAGATCATATCCCCCCCTTATGTATTATACATGGAGATCATGTCCCCCCCTTATGTATTATACATGGAGATCATATCCCCCCTTATGTATTATACATGGAGATCATGTCCCCCCCTTATGTATTATACATGGAGATCATATCCCCCCCTTATGTATTATACATGGTGATCATATCCCCCCTTATGTATTATTATACATGGAGATCATATCCCCCTTTATGTGTTATACATGGTGATCATATCCCCCTTATGTATTATACATGGAGATCATATCCCCCCTTATGTATTATACATGGTGATCATATCCCCCCTTATGTATTATACATGGTGATCATATCCCCCCTTATGTATTATACATGGAGATCATATCCCCCCTTATGTATTATACATGGAGATCATATCCCCCCTTTTGTATTATACATGGAGATCATATCCCCCTTATGTATTATACATGGAGATCATATCCCCCCTTATGTATTATACATGAGATCATATCCCCCCTTATGTATTATACATGGAGATCATATCCCCCCTTATGTATTATACATGGAGATCATATCCCCCCTTATGTATTATACATGGGTGATCATATCCCCCCTTATGTATTATACATGGAGATCATATCCCCCCTTATGTATTATACATGGAGATCATATCCCCCCTTATGTATTATACATGGAGATCATATCCCCCCTTATGTATTATACATGGTGATCATATCCCCCCTTATGTATTATACATGGAGATCATATCCCCCTTATGTATTATACATGGAGATCATATCCCCCCTTATGTATGTATATACATGGTGATCATATCCCCCTTATGTATTATACATGGAGATCATATCCCCCCTTATGTATTATACATGGTGATCATATCCCCCCCTTATGTATTATACATGGAGATCATATCCCCCCTTATGTATTATACATGGAGATCATATCCCCCCTTATGTATTATACATGGAGATCATATCCCCCCCCTTATGTATTATACATGGTGATCATATCCCCCCTTATGTATTATACATGGAGATCATATCCCCCCTTATGTATTATACATGGAGATCATATCCCCCCTTATGTATTATACATGGTGATCATATCCCCCCTTATGTATTATACATGGAGATCATATCCCCCTTATGTATTATACATGGAGATCATATCCCCCCTTATGTATTATACATGGTGATCATATCCCCCCTTATGTATTATACATGGAGATCATATCCCCCCCCTTATGTATTATACATGGAGATCATATCCCCCCCTTATGTATTATACATGGAGATCATATCCCCCCTTATGTATTATACATGGAGATCATATCCCCCCTTATGTATTATACATGGAGATCATATCCCCCCTTATGTATTATACATGGAGATCATATCCCCCCTTATGTATTATACATGGAGATCATATCCCCCTTATGTATTATACATGGAGATCATATCCCCCTTATGTATTATACATGGAGATCATATCCCCCCTTATGTATTATACATGGAGATCATATCCCCCTTATGTATTATACATGGTGATCATATCCCCCCTTATGTATTATACATGGAGATCATATCCCCCCCCTTATGTATTATACATGGAGATCATATCCCCCCCCTTATGTATTATACATGGAGATCATATCCCCCCTTATGTATTATACATGGAGATCATATCCCCCTTATGTATTATACATGGAGATCATATCCCCCCTTATGTATTATACATGGAGATCATATCCCCCCTTATGTATTTATACATGGTGATCATATCCCCCCTTATGTATTATACATGGAGATCATATCCCCCCTTATGTATTATACATGGAGATCATATCCCCCCTTATGTATTATACATGGTGATCATATCCCCCCTTATGTATTATACATGGAGATCATATCCCCCCTTATGTATTATACATGGAGATCATATCCCCCCCCTTATGTATTATACATGGAGATCATATCCCCCCTTATGTATTATACATGGAGATCATATCCCCCCTTATGTATTATACATGGTGATCATATCCCCCCTTATGTATTATACATGGAGATCATATCCCCCCCCCCTTATGTATTATACATGGAGATCATATCCCCCCCCTTATGTATTATACATGGAGATCATATCCCCCCCTTATGTATTATACATGGAGATCATATCCCCCCCCCTTATGTATTATACATGGAGATCATATCCCCCCCCCTTATGTATTATACATGGAGATCATATCCCCCCCTTATGTATTATACATGGAGATCATATCCCCCCCTTATGTATTATACATGGAGATCATATCCCCCTTATGTATTATACATGGAGATCATATCCCCCCTTATGTATTATACATGGAGATCATATCCCCCCCCTTTATGTATTATACATGGAGATCATATCCCCCCCTTATGTATTATACATGGAGATCATATCCCCCCTTATGTATTATACATGGAGATCATATCCCCCCTTATGTATTATACATGGAGATCATATCCCCCCTTATGTATTATACATGGTGATCATATCCCCCCTTATGTATTATACATGGAGATCATATCCCCCCTTATGTATTATACATGGAGATCATATCCCCCCTTATGTATTATATACATGGAGATCATATCCCCCTTTTATGTGTTATACATGGTGATCATATCCCCCTTATGTATTATACATGGAGATCATATCCCCCCTTATGTATTTACATGGTGATCATATCCCCCCTTATGTATTATACATGGAGATCATATCCCCCCTTATGTATTATACATGGTGATCATATCCCCCCTTATGTATTATACATGGAGATCATATCCCCCCTTATGTATTATACATGGTGAGATCATATCCCCCCTTATGTATTATACATGGTGATCATATCCCCCCCTTATGTATTATACATGGAGATCATATCCCCCCCTTATGTATTATACATGGAGATCATATCCCCCCTTATGTATTATACATGGTGATCATATCCCCCCTTATGTATTATACATGGAGATCATATCCCCCCTTATGTATTATACATGGTGATCATATCCCCCCTTATGTATTATACATGGAGATCATATCCCCCCTTATGTATTATACATGGAGATCATATCCCCCCTTATGTATTATATATGGTGATCATATCCCCCCTTATGTATTATATATGGTGATCATATCCCCCCTTATGTATTATACATGGTGATCATATCCCCTTTATGTATTATACATGGAGATCATATCCCCCCCTTATGTATTATACATGGAGATCATATCCCCCTTATGTATTATACATGGAGATCATATCCCCCCCCCCTTATGTATTATACATGGAGATCATATCCCCCCCCCCCTTATGTATTATACATGGAGCTCATATCCCCCCCCTTATGTATTATACATGGAGCTCATATCATCCCCCCCCCTTATGTATTATACATGGTGATCATGTCCCCCTTATGTATTATACATGGAGATCATATCCCCCCTTATGTATTATACATGGAGATCATATCCCCCCCTTATGTATTATACATGGAGATCATGTCCCCCCTTATGTATTATACATGGAGATCATGTCCCCCCTTATGTATTATACATGGAGATCATATCCCCCCTTATGTATTATACATGGAGATCATATCCCCCCCTTATGTATTATACATGGAGATCATATCCCCCTTATGTATTATACATGGAGATCATATCCCCCCTTATGTATTATACATGGTGATCATATCCCCCTTATGTATTATACATGGAGATCATATCCCCCCTTATGTATTATACATGGAGATCATATCCCCCTTATGTATTATACATGGAGATCACATCCCCCTTATGTATTATACATGGAGATCACATCCCCCTTATGTATTATACATGGAGATCATATCCCCCCTTATGTATTATACATGGAGATCATATCCCCCTTATGTATTATACATGGAGATCACATCCCCCTTATGTATTATACATGGTGATCATATCCCCCCCCCCTTATGTATTATACATGGAGCTCATATCCCCCCCCTTATGTATTATACATGGAGCTCATATCCCCCCCCCCTTATGTATTATACATGGAGATCATATCCCCCCCCCTTATGTATTATACATGGAGCTCATATCCCCCCCCTTATGTATTATACATGGAGCTCATATCCCCCCCCCTTATGTATTATACATGGAGATCATATCCCCCCTTATTCTCTTTTTGTGAATTGGTGCCCAAAACTGAACTGCAAATTGCAGTGATTTATTTAATTTCCTCCATCCTGACAGTACCAGTGGTTGATGGAATAGAAAACGAAGGGGGGGGGGGGGTGCTGAGTCCTAAAATATAGAATAAAAAATGGGTACCTTAAAGTTGATAATTCCATATTAGGAGGGTACACTGTAAGATTAAATGTGAGTGGACACCTCATACCTACATGAGCTAGTTGGACATCACCTTCTAAAACAATAAGCATTGATAGCACCTGTACTCATTTGAAAGGGTGTCCTCATACTTTTGGGCATATAGTCGTTGTAATAGGTTTCTATATATGTTTGGCCATATACACTATATTTCCAAAAGTATTGGGCCGCCAACCTTTCCACACACATGAACTTTAATGGCCCCCCAGTCTTGGTCCGTAAGGTTCAATATTGAGTTGGCCCCGCCCTTTGCAGCTATAACAGCTTCAACTCTTCTGGGAAGGCCGTCCACAAGGTTTAGGAGGGTGTCTATGGGAAGGTTGGACCATTCTTCCAGAAGCACATTTGTGAGGTCAGGCACTGATGTCGGGGGAGGAGGCCTGGCTCGCAGTCTCTGCTCTAATTCATCCCAAAGGTGTTGTATCGGGTTGAGGTCAGGACTCTCAAGTTCTGGCTTGGATGCAGCTGCTCGGCCATGGAAACCCATTCCATGAAACTCTCTACACACCATTCAAATCTGAAGGCCACACCAAGTTTGGAGGTCTTTAGCTATTGACTCTGCAGACAGTTGGCGATTTCTGCACGCTGTGCGCTTCAGCATGCACTGACCCCGCTCTGTCATGTGACGTGGCCTCCCACTTGGTGGCTGAGTTGCTGTTGTTCCCAGTTGCTTCTACTTTTATAATACCACTAACAGTTGAGCGTGGAATATTTAGTAGCCAGGAAATGTCACGGATGGACTTATTGCACAGGTGACCACCTATCAGGGGACCACGCTTGGAGTCACTGAGTTCCTGAGAGCGACCCATTCTTTCACCAATGTTTGTAGAAGCAGTCTGCATGCCTAGCTGCTTGATTTGATTGATTCTGTGGCCATGGAGGCGATTGGAACACCTAAATCCAATAATTTGGAGGGTCTTCCCAATACATTTGGCAATATGGTGTATATGGCGTTGGGTATTTGGTGTAGATATAGGCTCAGCGTGCCTCCCAATCCTAGCTCCTCACAACAGCCTAGCATCCTCCTGATGTTGCTGAAACTGAAATTCAGAGCAATTTCATCTTCTTTGCAGGTGTGCCAATATAAAGTTTACATGCAAAAACTATTCTACTCATTTCCTCTCCCCCCCCCCCTTCCTTTGTTTGGCGCCTCTTCTTTAAGAAGCTCGCTGGTAATAACCTTAATCATTTTATTCGGATACGGGGAGCAGGAGCCGCGCATGGCTCCCGAAGGGGCGCCTAAGAACTTATTAAAACATTGCAAGTGTTTTCCTTCTCGCTGTCTGTTCCAGAGGCAGCCTCGGAGCCTAAGGCTGAGCGCGGCAAACCCCCAGGGCACATTAGCTTTAACTTGTTTACTGCACTGATATCTATATGTTAAACGACAGGAGAGTTCAGCTTATTGAATAATTTAAAATTCTGCTCTAATTGGTGTCGTATGACCTGGAAAAGGCCACGGATGACGCCCCGGGCACGCTGCAAAATGCTCATGAATAATTCACAGCCGAGATCATTCGTTTTTGCCGGCGTGTCTTGTTAAAGGCAGAAGTTTGCCCGTAATAAAGGATAATTCAACACCTGTAAGTCTTTAGTTGTGAAACTCCAAGGTAATCTACCTTGATGATCTTCCCGAGAAAGGCGCCAACTTGTTCTTCATAATGGCACAGAGGAGATTGTCGGCCATTTATACGGAGCGGGCCGTTGGCACGCTTTACCGCGCAGCTGTTAGCAGCAAAATTTATTAATCTTGAGGATCTGGCCTCCATAGATCGATCTAAATGTACCCTGCAACTTGGCCATAGCAGTGTCGGGACCTTCCTGGGACATAACCCAAAAAGAAGACACTGTCTGATCTTCACTGCTCTGTAGTAGTCACCTGGAAAGTTTTTGTGGTCTTGTGTTGCTGTTCGCGCTGCAGTTTTCTTTGCTTTTCCTTTTCCGTGGCTTGACAAAGCAGTGCCTGCTGTTGCGGCAACGTGGGGAGCAGCAGTGCCATTCAACCTTTCACGTGTGCACACGTTGGCAGCAGGCTGTAGCTTCTCAGGCTACGGACAATGGCGATGTTTGCAAGTGGTTGGTGCCCAATCTCCGTGTAACAATGAAGGGATAATTCACAGGTTATGCGTCTTTGGTGTACAGCAGAAGTGCTCTAAAATTATTTCATGTAAAAAAACAGAGTAGTATTGAAAAACGATGTCATCTGTTTTATTTAAAGTTGAGTTCCAAGAATTCAGCTCTTTTGTAAAAAAGTGAAGACACACTATGAGTTAAGTCTTAGGAGGTGCAGGACATCATCTGGGCTTCTCTTGTTTTTACATCTGACCTTTTTATTGCACTCCTGGGTGATGGCTATAACTGGGAGCCTGACGCTGATGCTTCCTATCTCTACAACATTGAAGTCTGTGCATCTGCTATGCCTGCCCAATCACAGAAGCCTTTGTATTAGGTCAGTGGTTCTCAACCTTCCTAATGCTGCAAACCTTTAATACAGTTCCTCATGTTGTGGTGACCCCCAACCATAAAATTATTTACCCAGTAATTATAATTCATAGTGTTGTTTTACCTCCAATGCTGCTGCTTTCAACACAGTAGCTGCTTTCAACGCAGTAGCTGCTTTCAACGCAGTAGCTGCTTTCAACGCAGTAGCTGCTTTGAAGGCAGTAGCTGCTTTGAAGGCAGTAGCTGCTTTGAAGGCAGTAGCTGCTTTGAAGGCAGTAGCTGCTTTGAAGGCAGTAGCTGCTTTGAAGGCAGTAGCTGCTTTGAAGGCAGTAGCTGCTTTGAAGGCAGTAGCTGCTTTGAAGGCAGTAGCTGCTTTGAAGGCAGTAGCTGCTTTGAAGGCAGTAGCTGCTTTGAAGGCAGTAGCTGCTTTGAAGGCAGTAGCTGCTTTGAAGGCAGTAGCTGCTTTGAAGGCAGTAGCTGCTTTGAAGGCAGTAGCTGCTTTGAAGGCAGTAGCTGCTTTGAAGGCAGTAGCTGCTTTGAAGGCAGTAGCTGCTTTGAAGGCAGTAGCTGCTTTGAAGGCAGTAGCTGCTTTGAAGGCAGTAGCTGCTTTTAAGGCAGTAGCTGCTTTTAACGCAGTAGCTGCTTTTAACGCAGTAGCTGCTTTTAACGCAGTAGCTGCTTTCTACACAGCAGCTGCTCTTTACACATCGGAAATATGTGTTTTCCGATGATCTTAGGCGAACCCTGTGAAAGGGTCGTTTGACCCCCAAAGGGGTTGAGAACCACTGTATTAGGTGAACCCATTCACCAAATACAAAGGCTTCTCTGAATGGGCAGCACAGGGGAGGGGCGGGTGCAGCTGCTCTGTGTGCCTCTGTCTCCAATCTCACATCCCCAAATGTCAGTGTATGCTCTGGCAAACTCATATACCTATCAGATATAAATAATAGCGATATGTTTAGGAGATACCATGCACCTCCTTGGACTTAACATGTCTGCACTTTTTATAGAGTGCCTGAATTCCTGGAATTCTGCTTTAAAGATGAACTCCAGAAAAAAACAAACGCAGCTCTGTAATCACAAATACAAGCAAGCACTGTAAATACCTGAATGTGATTTGGTATCAGCCTCTTGCCGTCTTTGTATGCAGAGCTCAGACTGGGGAAGGGACAAGCAGCACTGGGAGCCTGTCAGTTTTGCTGCAGTGCTCATGTGCTGGTAAGGAACATGCTCATAGGAAAGTGCACAGAGATGGGCCTCATCAGTCTTCTGCTTCTTTAAATGTGTTGCTACAGCCTGGAGGAAGGACAAGATCTGTAAGGTCTAATTTACACTTGTGGTCAGGGGGAGGTTTGATCAAAATGGGCGACTGAGCCTTAGTTTTACCCTTCTCGTCCACCTTAAGCTACAAAGGTCGTGCTGGGATGTTACAATACTTTGCTTTTCAGCTATGCCAAAGATACCCCCTGTTGTGGTTTGGGGATGATACCCTTACCAAATACAACCCATTCAAGTGAATGGGGCTGTGCCAAAACTGCCTTGCAGCTGTGTGCAATGCATCTGGTTGCTGCACGGTGGTGCAGGCTTTTACAAGGTTAAATATGGAGGTAAGGAGGCAACACATTCCTTCCCATCCGCCTCTCAAACAACCTTTGATAATCATTCCCCTGCAGATCGCTTTTCAGCAGGCAATGCACGTGTAAACGAGTCCTAAGTGTTGGAAGCAGCAGATTCAAATCAGGTCTCCTGCCCTGTCAGACATGGCGGAGCTGTATAAATCTCAGGACTGGATAGGCAAAACTATAAATCCTTTGCAAGGCTAGATAGCCCCCTTATGTGTTTCAACTGTGTATTTAGTTTGCCTTGGAGTTCAGCCTTCATTTGGTATTGGGTGTTCAGGTTTTCACTAAGGAACGGCGGGTAGGTTCGAGAAAGTGCTGTTAGAATTTTGCGTGGGTGCGTGTTTTTTAACTATTTTTCTTTCTTTTCTTTTTAAAAGGTGCCAAAAATTCAACAGCAGCCAACAGCAAATGAACTGAATGGGTCTTACCTCGCTCCATGCCATAAACAGAACCCTGAATTGGAAAGCTTGTGTTCCATTCCGGCACGTCCCTTCTGTAGAACTGACCCCAAATCTGGATGTGGTTTCCATTGCCACTCAGACAGGTACCCTTTGGACAGTTGTGTACAGAGGAAATGCTGCTGCTCCGATATGCCAGACGTACACCATCCAGATGTGACCCGTGGCCAGCGTTGCAGCAGTGCCATAGATCAGCCACTATCTCATTGCTGCTTGCACCAGCCGGCGCACGGCTCCCGTGGGAAAGGTCCACCAGAATGTTCACTCCCAAGACATCCGGAAGATTGCTCCTTTTCTAGTCACTCCACCACATCCGCCTTAAGTAATGGGGTTGCCACACGAGCAAAGGTGTCGGCCATGTCCGAGCAGAGGAAACATGAATTAATGCTGCAGAAGATGGAACTTGAGGTGGAGAAAAGAGCGGCTGCAGCACTTGCTGGAGGAACACGAAGCCAAACTGCTTGAGAAGCAGCAGGAACTACTACAGACCAAGCTGGAGGAGTCCAAAAGGTGACATTTTAGTGATTTTTCTTCACAAACAATGTAGAGGTTGGAATGAGTAGCTCAACCTCTGTGTTTCTTTATGATACAAAGTTAAGCAAGGCTATAACTTCACAACAGGATATAGAAACTTATAAAATGGAATTAAAATAGAGGGATGGGCAGCTATATGGCAGCTGAGGTTCAATGTAGGAAGATGTAAAGTAATGCACTTGGTAGCTAAAAATATGAATGCAAATTGTTCAGTAGGAAGAGACTGTGACGGGATTGACATTGGGTGGGGGGCCCATGGAACACAGCCCCCTTAGGAGAGGTGGGGAGACCCCTGTCTCAGCTCCCCATATCCCTATTATGTGTAAGTCACCCTGTGCCTGTTAGGGGTACAGGGTGGAATGTCCTGATATTGTGTAGACATATATAGATGGGGTGTGGGGGTTGTTCATTGTTTAATGCCATGTGGTTGTCCCATTGTTCTATTGTGTGTCTTGCTTGGGAGCAAACTATTATGGGATGTATGTGTTTGTGTGGCTTGGTGGGGGGTGTCTGCTGATGTCTCTTGTTGCTAGATTTGGTTTGCCCCGCCCTGTGTCCATATGCGGGGGGGGGGGGGGGTTGTTCCTTGAATATCTTGTGTCTGTGTTAAAATAGAGCAGTCTTATTTCCTGGTTTTACTTCGAGTGGTGTCCGTGGATCTGTGTTCGGACAGGGAAGCGGGAGTCGTAAATAAACGGAGATATCCAAGTGTAGTCGGGGTCCTGTTCCGTTACAGAGACCTTCTGAGGGAATCTGGGATGGAAAAGGTTCCGACTCCTGTAGTAGGGCTGCAGTCTCAGGCCATCTCCAGTATTAGGGCTGCAGTCTCAGGACGACACCAGTAGTAGAGCTGCCGTCTCGGGCCGACTCCTGTAGTAGAGCTGCCGTCTCGGGCCGACTCCTGTTGTAGGGCTGCATTCTCAGGCCGTCTCCTGTAGTAGGGCTGCAGTCTCGGGCCGTCTCCTGTAGTAGGGCTGCAGTCTCGGGCCGTCTCCTGTAGTAGGGCTGCAGTCTCGGGCCGACCCCTGTAGTAGGGCTGCCGTCTCGGGCCGACCCCTGTAGTAGGGCTGCAGTCTCGGGCCGGCTCCTGTAGTAGGGCTGCAGTCTCGGGCCGGCTCCTGTAGTAGGGCTGCAGTCTCGGGCCGGCTCCTGTAGTAGGGCTGCAGTCTCGGGCCGGCTCCTGTAGTAGGGCTGCAGTCTCGGGCCGGCTCCTGTAGTAGGGCTGCAGTCTCGGGCCGGCTCCTGTAGTAGGGCTGCAGTCTCGGGCCGGCTCCTGTAGTAGGGCTGCAGTCTCGGGCCGGCTCCTGTAGTAGGGCTGCAGTCTCGGGCCGGCTCCTGTAGTAGGGCTGCAGTCTCGGGCCGGCTCCTGTAGTAGGGCTGTAGTCTCGGGCCGGCTCCTGTAGTAGGGCTGCCGTCTCGGTCCGGCTCCTGTAGTAGGTCTGCCGTCTCGGGCCGGCTCCTGTAGTAGGTCTGCCGTCTCGGGCCGGCTCCTGTAGTAGGTCTGCCGTCTCGGGCCGGCTCCTGTAGTAGGGTCTGCAGTCTCGGGCCGTCTCCTGTAGTAGGGCTGCAGTCTCGGGCCGGCTCCTGTAGTAGGGCTGCAGTCTCGGGCCGGCTCCTGTAGTAGGGCTGCAGTCTCGGGCCGGCTCCTGTAGTAGGGCTGCAGTCTCGGGCCGGCTCCTGTAGTAGGGGCTGCAGTCTCGGGCCGGCTCCTGTAGTAGGGCTGCAGTCTCGGGCCGGCTCCTGTAGTAGGGCTGCAGTCTCGGGCCGGCTCCTGTAGTAGGGCTGCAGTCTCGGGCCGGCTCCTGTAGTAGGGCTGCAGTCTCGGGCCGGCTCCTGTAGTAGGGCTGCCGTCTCGGGCCGGCTCCTGTAGTAGGGCTGCCGTCTCGGTCCGGCTCCTGTAGTAGGGCTGCCGTCTCGGGCCGGCTCCTGTAGTAGGGCTGCCGTCTCGGGCCGACTCCTGTAGTAGGGCTGCTGTAGTCTCGGGCCGTCTCCTGTAGTAGGGCTGCCGTCTCGGGCCGTCTCCTGTAGTAGGGCTGCCGTCTCGGGCCGTCTCCTGTAGTAGGGCTGCCGTCTCGGGCCGTCTCCTGTAGTAGGGCTGCCGTCTCGGGCCGTCTCCTGTAGTAGGGCTGCCGTCTCGGGCCGTCTCCTGTAGTAGGGCTGCCGTCTCGGGCCGTCTCCTGTAGTAGGGCTGCCGTCTCGGGCCGGCTCCTGTAGTAGGGCTGCCGTCTCGGGCCGGCTCCTGTAGTAGGGCTGCTGTCGGGGCCGGTTCCTGTAGTAGGGCTGCCGTCTCGGGCCGGCTCCTGTAGTAGGGCTGCAGTCTCGGTGCCCGGTCCTGCCAGATGTGGTAGGGCTGCTGTCTGCCAGATGACTCCTGTAGTGGCTGCCGTCTGCAGGCCGCTCTCCTGTAGTAGGGCGCTGTCGTGCCAGATGACTCGGGCCGGCTCCTGTAGTAGGGCTGCCGTCGTGCCGGCTCCTGTAGTAGGGTGCCCGCTGTCGTGCCAGATGACTCGGTGCCCGCTCCTGTAGTAGGGCTGCCAGATGACTCGGTCCTGTAGTAGGGCTGCGTCTCGGGCCGGATCCTGACTCGGTGCCCGCTGTCGTGCCAGGGATGACTCGGTGCCGCTGTAGCCAGATGACTGCCGTCTGCCGGGGCCGGCTCCTGAGTGGTGGGCTGCCGTCTCGGTGCCCGCTGTCCGAGTTGGCTGACTCGGTGCCCTCCTGTCGTAGCTTGGTGACTCGGGCCCGCTCCTGTAGTACTCTCGGTGGCTGCTGCCGTGACTCGGTGCCGCTGTCGAGCCTGTAGTGGGCTGCCTTGGTCTCGGTGCCCGCTGTCGAGCTTGTGACTCTGTGGCTGTCGAGCTTGGTCTCGGGCCCGCTGTCCTGTAGCTTAGGGTGCCGTCTCGGGTGCTCGCTGTCGAGCTTGGTGACTCCTGTCCGGGCTGTCCTGTAGTGGGGCTGTGCGCGTCTTGGTGACTCTGTGCCCGCTGTCGAGCTTAGGTGACTCGGTGCCCTCGTTCCGCTGTCGAGGCTGCAGTGGACTCGGTGCCCGCTGTCGAGCTTGGTGACTCGGTGCCCGCTGTCGAGCCAGGTGACTCGGTGCCCGCTGTCGTGCTAGATGGCTCGGTGCCCGCTGTCGTGCTAGATGGCTCGGTGCCCGCTGTCGTGCCAGATGACTCGGTGCCCGCTGTCGTGCCTGATGGGCCGGTGCCTGCTGCCCCGCCTGATGGGCCGGTGCCTGCTGCCCCGCCTGATGGGCCGGTGCCTGCTGCCCCGCCTGATGGGCCGGTGCCTGCTGCCCCGCCTGATGGGCCGGTGCCTGCTGCCCCGCCTGATGGGCCGGTGCCTGCTGCCCCGCCTGATGGGCCGGTGCCTCTGCTGCCCCGCCTGATGGGCCGGTGCCTGCTGCCCGCCTGATGGGCCGGTGCCTGCTGCCCCGCCTGATGGGCCGGTGCCTGCTGCCCCCCTGATGGGCCGGTGCTCTGGCCCCGCCTGATGGGCCGGTGCCTGCTGCCCCGCCTGATGGGCCGGTGCCTGCTGCCCCGCCTGATGGGCCGGTGCCTGCTGCCCCGCCTGATGGGCCGGTGCCCGCTGCCCCGCCTGATGGGCCGGTGCCCGCTGCCCCGCCTGATGGGCCGGTGCCCGCTGCCCCGCCTGATGTGCCTCTGCCCGCTGCCCCGCCTGATGTGCCTCTGCCCGCTGCCCCGCCTGATGTGCCTCTGTCCGCTGCCCAGCCTGATGTGCCTCTGTCCGCTGCCCAGCCTGATGTGCCTCTGTCCGCTGCCCAGCCTGATGTGCCTCTGTCCGCTGCCCAGCCTGATGTGCCTCTGTCTGCTGCCCAGCCTGATGTGCCTGTGTCCGCTGCCCAGCCTGATGTGCCTCTGCCGGCTGCCCAGCCTGATGTGCCAATCCCCGATGTCCAGCTAAACTGGCCAATAACTGATTCCCAGCCTGCTCCTGGAGATCCTGTGTCCAGTAACCTGCCTTCCTGGGTTCTCCTACACAAGGAGAAGTCTACCAGCAGGAAACCCAGCCAGCCGGTTGACTCCGGCAGTAGGATATCTAGCCAGTTACCTGACCCGGGCGGTGGAATATTAGTCCACTAAGGACTGTTTGGAGCGTCCTGAGGCCGCTCCTTGAGGGGGGGGTACTGTCAGGAATGAACTCACCATTAGTGGTGGGACTCATCTGCCGTGTGGGCTGCAGTACCAGGGCTGGCCAGCGGGTGCTCTCAGCAACCAGAAGCTCACTCCTGCAATCAGCCATCACCTGAGGCTGATTGCAGGAGGTGTATTTAAGGAATGGCCAGACCTGCAGTCAGTGCCTTGGTGTATGTTTCCCATGAGCCCCTGTACCTGCATTCTGTCTGCTTCCGGCCTGATCCTGACTCTGCTTTGACCCTGACTCTGAACGAACTCCGCCTGTCCTGACCTCGCAATTCCTGACCACACTTCCGCTCGCTCCTGGTACCCTGTTTGCCCGTGTGCTACCGACCCGGCCTGCCCGACTACGTTCGATTTATATATATGGTTATCTGTTGGAGGTTTGGTTGTTTGCACTGTGTTATGTTTACCTTGCACTGCGTTTGTGTTGTTTAGTCTTTTAATAAATTGTATTGTTTATACTATACCTGAAGCCTGCATTTCCCTGTGTCAGTCCACACACCTCTGGTCATACCCGGAGCCCTGACAAGGGCTGCCGTCTCTTGTAGTAGGGCTGCCGTCTCGGGCCGTCTCCTGTAGTAGGGCTGCCGTCTCGGGCCGTCTCCTGTAGTAGGGCTGCCGTCTCGGGCCGTCTCCTGTAGTAGGGCTGCCGTCTCGGGCCGTCTCCTGTAGTAGGGCTGCCGTCTCGGGCCGTCTCCTGTAGTAGGGCTGCCGTCTCGGGCCGTCTCCTGTAGTAGGGCTGCCGTCTCGGGCCGACTCCTGTAGTAGGGCTGCCGTCTCGGGCCGACTCCTGTAGTAGGGCTGCCGTCTCGGGCCGACTCCTGTAGTAGGGCTGCCGTCTCGGGCCGTCTCCTGTAGTAGGGCTGCCGTCTCGGGCCGACTCCTGTAGTAGGGCTGCCGTCTCGGGCCGACTCCTGTAGTAGGGCTGCCGTCTCGGGCCGACTCCTGTAGTAGGGCTGCCGTCTCGGGCCGACTCCTGTAGTAGGGCTGCCGTCTCGGGCCGACTCCTGTAGTAGGGCTGCCGTCTCGGGCCGACTCCTGTAGTAGGGCTGCCGTCTCGGGCCGACTCCTGTAGTAGGGCTGCCGTCTCGGGCCGTCTCCTGTAGTAGGGCTGCCGTCTCGGGCCGTCTCCTGTAGTAGGGCTGCCGTCTCGGGCCGTCTCCTGTAGTAGGGCTGCCGTCTCGGGCCGTCTCCTGTAGTAGGGCTGCCGTCTCGGGCCGTCTCCTGTAGTAGGGCTGCCGTCTCGGGCCGTCTCCTGTAGTAGGGCTGCCGTCTCGGGCCGTCTCCTGTAGTAGGGCTGCCGTCTCGGGCCGTCTCCTGTAGTAGGGCTGCCGTCTCGGGCCGTCTCCTGTAGTAGGGCTGCCGTCTCGGGCCGTCTCCTGTAGTAGGGCTGCCGTCTCGGGCCGTCTCCTGTAGTAGGGCTGCCGTCTCGGGCCGTCTCCTGTAGTAGGGCTGCCGTCTCGGGCCGTCTCCTGTAGTAGGGCTGCCGTCTCGGGCCGTCTCCTGTAGTAGGGCTGCCGTCTCGGGCCGTCTCCTGTAGTAGGGCTGCCGTCTCGGGCCGTCTCCTGTAGTAGGGCTGCCGTCTCGGGCCGTCTCCTGTAGTAGGGCTGCCGTCTCGGGCCGTCTCCTGTAGTAGGGCTGCCGTCTCGGGCCGTCTCCTGTAGTAGGGCTGCCGTCTCGGGCCGTCTCCTGTAGTAGGGCTGCCGTCTCGGGCCGTCTCCTGTAGTAGGGCTGCCGTCTCGGGCCGTCTCCTGTAGTAGGGCTGCCGTCTCGGGCCGTCTCCTGTAGTAGGGCTGCCGTCTCGGGCCGTCTCCTGTAGTAGGGCTGCCGTCTCGGGCCGTCTCCTGTAGTAGGGCTGCCGTCTCGGGCCGTCTCCTGTAGTAGGGCTGCCGTCTCGGGCAGTCTCCTGTAGTAGGTAGGGCTGCCGTCTCGGGCAGTCTCTGTAGTAGGGCTGCCGTCTCGGGGCAGTCTGTAGTAGGGCTGCCGTCTCGGGCAGTCTCCTGTAGTAGGGCTGCCGTCTCGGGCAGTCTCCTGTAGTAGGGCTGCCGTCTCGGGCAGTCTCCTGTAGTAGGGCTGCCGTCTCGGGCAGTCTCCTGTAGTAGGGCTGCCGTCTCGGGCAGTCTCCTGTAGTAGGGCTGCCGTCTCGGGCAGTCTCCTGTAGTAGGGCTGCCGTCTCGGGCAGTCTCCTGTAGAAGGACTGCCATCTCGGGCAGTCTCCTGTAGTAGGGCTGCAGTCTCCTGTAGTAGGGCTGCCGTCTCGGGCAGTCTCCTGTAGAAGGACTGCCGTCTCGGGCAGTCTCCTGTAGTAGGGCTGCAGTCTCCTGTAGTAGGGCTGCCATCTCGGGCAGTCTCCTGTGGTAGAGCTGCCGTCTCCTGTAGTAGGGCTGCCGTCTCGGGCAGTCTCCTGTAGTAGGGTTGCAGTCTCCTGTAGTAGGGCTGCCGTCTCGGGCAGTCTCCTGTAGTAGGGCTGCCGTCTCGGGCAGTCTCCTGTAGTAGGGCTGCCGTCTCGGGCAGTCTCCTGTAGTAGGGCTGCCGTCTCGGGCAGTCTCCTGTAGTAGGGCTGCCGTCTCGGGCCGACTCCTGTAGTAGGGCTGCCGTCTCGGGCCGTCTCCTGTAGTAGGGCTGCCGTCTCGGGCAGTCTCCTGTAGTAGGGCTGCCGTCTCGGGCAGTCTCCTTTAGTAGGGCTGCCGTCTCGGGCAGTCTCCTGTAGAAGGGCTGCCCTCTCGGGCAGTCTCCTGTAGTAGGGCTGCCGTCTCGGGCAGTCTCCTGTAGTAGGGCTGCCGTCTCGGGCAGTCTCCTGTAGTAGGGCTGCCGTCTCCTGTAGTAGGGCTGCCGTCTCTCGGGCAGTCTCCTGTAGTAGGGTTGCAGTCTCCTGTAGTAGGGCTGCCGTCTCGGGCAGTCTCCTGTAGTAGGGCTGCAGTCTCCTGTAGTAAGGCTGCCGTCTCGGGCAGTCTCCTGTAGTAGGGCTGCCGTCTCGGGCCGTCTCCTGTAGTAGGGCTGCAGTCTTTGACTGCTTTCTCTAGCTTTACATTCGCTAAATATTATATGTGTCCCTCTGGTGATGTCAGGGGATGCACGTGTTCAACCCTCTTTGACGTTCAATTTTCTCCTGTACCCCATGGAGCCGTGGTAGGAAGAGTTCCCCCTCTCACTCACGTGAATGAAGCTGCTCTGCAAGTGCCCCACAAACACGTGCAATTCACAAAGTTGCGGTTCGCTAGTGCGGGGTAGAGCAGGTGACGAAAAGCTACGCCTCCTTACCACCTGTCAAATGTTCTCTAAAGAGCAGTTTAAATTGCTGTTCAGAGGCCAAAGTATGTGAGGTGTTGGTTTCCCCTCTGAAGATGTGCGTGGCACGAAAAGCTTAAGGAGGAGCCAACACACCGTGACGTCACGCCGCCGGAGCCACGTGCAGGTCCGGCAGCCATCTTTTACATCGGGTCAGTGCTGCGTTAACTCTGCAGTACTGTGTACCCTTTTTACCTGGAATAAAAGTTTTCTTAATTACTACACTATGGGCACTTCTTTTGTGGCTCTTTCTTGGAGCCTACAGATGATCCTCACCTAACCAGCACCCAGAGGGGGGAAGACCTGTAACCAGGCTGAGCACCCATTCATCCCAAAGGGGACCTCTGGATGAGCAGATTTCCACTTAAATCCCAAGATTTACTGCTGTGCTGTCCCACACCCTGAAGGAAGTTCACCAGACGCCTGACATACCCCGCCTCCCTAAGTGGTCCATGATGGATATATTTATATGCGCATATCCCATGCGCTTCTGGTGAGTGCGCAATTTTACCGTTCCTTCCAAGCGCAAGCATTTGAATTCTGCTACAGTGGGGGATCATTCATCAATACTGATTATATGAACTTTTATTATCTTATTATTTTATTAGTTATTTTATTAGCGCTGCACTTTTATTTATACAGTTTTATCGAGGTTTATATGGTTACCTTCAGTTCTACAGCTCCTACACCAAGAGCGCTCACTTTGTCTTACCCCTTACATGTGAGGATACATGTGAACGGTGCTGTGATTAGATTCACTTTGCAGATTTGCTGAAACATTCATTACACCCTTGTAATGAGGAAACAAAAACACTTCAATTCCCTCTGTTATACTTTCTTCGGAGCGTTTGTGAGGATGGTCTGGATTACGTGATTGGTATATTTCATCACGCAGTGGTTTATGAATGGCGAGGCGCAGCTGCCCCCCTTAAGCCGTAATGAAGCACAGACTGTGACTGCGATCACGGCACGCGGCTCTATAGACTGGAGAATGATGGATCGGTGTG